CTCTAGAAAACAAGAAAGGGCTAGGGATCAGAAGCATCGAGAGACTGCTGGAAGGTAAGCAGACTGACAATTAAGCCTAAACCTAAGAGCTCTACGAAACCAGCACACCAATACGTTACATCTGAAAAACTTATTTACCTAAATGGACCCCCACCCCCCAAAAAAAATGAATTAGAAAAATTCAAATAAAGGTACTCTGTGACCTTACAGAATAAGGATTAGTACACTTGCTGCTTCTACTTCTGACTCCACCATCCCCTGCCATCTGGCTCTACCCTTATCACCTTCCTGAAACTGCACTTCTACAGGTCACAAATGAGCTCTGGGGTACAAAATGCAAAGTCTCTATCCATCGCTGGCTGTGTACTCACCTTCTTCTTGTCTCTGTGTGATTCACCACTGCCCATGATCTCCCCTATTCTCCACTCCCTCGGCTTCAGTGACACTCTCTTGGTTTTCCTTCTCCCTCTCTGACCTCTTCTTCTCAGCTTCTGCTTCCTCCTTCGCTAAATGTGGGTGGTCTCCAGGAGTCTGCCTTACCCCTCATCTCCTTTTCCTGCATGTTCTCTTCCTTGGTAATGTCAAAGTTCCCACTCCCTTCTACCATTACCAGGTTCAATCTCATCAGTTCCACATCTGGGTTACTTGCTAATACTATTGCTGGGCAGCAAAATTTGCACACCTAGTCCTAACCTCTTTACAGAAAGACAGGTTCTGGTACATAGCATGTACTCAATAACCATTTCTAGAATAAATGAACAGATGAGTGAACAAACAAACCCATCTAGCTGCCCACTAGAACCTCATATAGGTAATGCATTCCACATTCATATTCACCCAGCCCCTTCTGCCTACCCATATCACTAAAACCTAAGTCTCCAGGCTCAAAAGCTACCTTTTTGACACCCTTTCTTCCTTTCCTCTCTCTGGTCCCATTATCACAACTGGCCTTTCTCTCTCTTCCTACTGCCATCGTCTTACTATGCCTTTTGCTTTCTCTCCATTAAACCACAGCAATGCAGGGATTCTTGTCTCTGGGCCCTCCTTCTGCGTAATCTGTGTTATATACAGGCTTCTAAGAACTCAGCTGTCATCATGTGATTCTCCTCTGTTCAAAAATCCTGACACTCACGGCCTACAGATGAAAATCCTAACTTCCAGCCTAAGATTTAAGGATCCTTCATGATCCAAACTCCTCTTTCCACACTGACCCTTTATACAAGTCAAAATTTAATACTTGCTCTTTCTAGAAGACACTCAATACTTTCCCTCTTCTGCTTTTATTTCTGGGATTCTTTTCCTTCTACACCCCTCTTCTTATTCAAAGCCACCTGTCCTTGTCTAGAAGCCTCCCCTCTTCCTCTGAGCCACCACGGTACCAATGGCCCTTTCTGATCCCTGTCAATCACATCTTAAGCTGTCTGTCTTTTTGTATCAGTGTGTCTATCTCCATTCACACTAAAGCCCTAATTGCTTTTGGGCACCCGTAAGAACTGTCCCAGCATGTACTTCAGAGCTCTGAAGTCAGCCAGTCCAGGTTCAAGTACCAGCTCTGCCAGTTCTTAGATAGATATCCTTGAAAATTATTTAGTCCTTCAGTTTCCCTAAAAAGGGAACTTCATCTATAAAATGCCTGCCTCACTGGGTTATTGCAAGGCTGCAATGAAATAAACTAAGTATGTAAAGCACCCAGCGTAGTACCTTGTACATAGTAAATGCTCAGAAAAGCACGTAACAAATATTCCTAGAATGAGTGAGTGAACTACTCTGGTGCCGAGGAAAGCACATTATCAACAGCACGAAGGGATAGCAGACAAGGTCTTCTCCTTGGAGACTCTCACAGAGTAGCTGGAGTGAGAGCTCAATGGCTGGGCATGGCAGACAGGCACTTGATGGAGAGTCTCTGGCTTGAAACTGGGATGAACCTTCACCATCAGAGCCCATGGCCCTCATCCAGGAAGGTGGCTTGCTGAAGCCATGACATACATTTGAAGAAAGCAGGCAATTCCAGGCCAGGGAAAAGCATTTGCAGTAACACAGATGTGGGCATGAGCAGATGGTGTCCAAGGAGACAGATACGAGGTGAGGCAAGTCTGAGGGGGTCCAGCTACCTCCCTGGGGGCTGGTGGTGACTACTGTCAGGGGAGACAAAGATGTCTCTGCTAAAGTACTGTGGCCTGATCCTCAACACTGTCTGCTGTTGAAAGCACAGATCAGACTACTGAACACACTTTACTCTAAGACATCTTCACACAAGTTCATGCATTTGAGGGGACCCGTTTTCTCCCCACAGGCTGAGACCTACCGGGTAGAACCTGACCAGGGCAAATGTAGCCACCAGTAAGAATGTCCACAAGTGCTCATGTCAACTCACAAACCAATCTCGGGAGCCAGGAAGAGAAATGCTGCCATGGTGCTAGGAAAATACAGGCCCGTCTCTGCATCAGGCAAGCTAGTCAGAATGTCTGTTTTTATTTTTTTCTCAAATGCTCAATAACCCTAAGAATGAATATGGGTGCCATACCTGTAAGACTGTCAGACTGAACACATTCAGCTATTTTCTCAGCCTAAAAATGAATTTTAAAAGCCATTAGTTTCGATTGCTTAATTATGGGATAAGGGAAATCTTGCTGGGGTGCACCAGGGTCCTGGGCTCACCTCACGTACCTTATTGTTGCCATTGCACACTCTGATAATGGACACATAGTGTCTAATTTTTCTGCAAATAGAAAACAATGCATTATTTCTCTCCTGAATCTCTAATCTTATGGATACGTAGCTAATTTTTCTTTACGAAAACAGCACCTTCCTTTCACACAAAATGCTTTGGGGAGAGCGTTTCTATTATTTGTGGCCAAGGCCACCAGTAAAGGAACAAGAGTCTACAGACATGGTCTTGTGTCTCTGTAGAATACAAGTGACTCTTGAGAAAAGAAATTCTTCCCAAGTTACCACAATAGACAAAACCTATGTTTAAAAAAATGTACTGCATGTTAACCAATCAAGAGCCTTTAGTTTCTTAACATGACTTTATTTTCACAACCCTTTATACTGATTCTCTTCTTCAAGTTCCAACAAACAATCCACCCCCAGTCATTCATGGAAACAGCCAGTGGCCACATCAAGGGCTGATTTTCACATTTAACTCATTAGCTGGGAATCTAAAACAAAGCAGCAAGGGCTTATCTCAGAAGCTGCTGACTTTTCTCATTTATTTATTGTTCCTTCAGTTTTTCATGTTTTTCCCCCTGATAATCAAATCCCTCTATACTTATCACAAAAAATTTGGAAAGGACATAAAAGGGCAAAGACTCGGAACAGAGAGCCTACACAGATCCAGCTCCCTGAGGCAGTCACCAACTGGCAGAGAAGCCTGGTGACAAAGCACGTGAGCTGTGAGGTCAGCACTGAGGTCCACAGCCTGGCTCTGCCATTTGCCGGCAACTGGACCTGGGCGAGAAACCTCACCTCTCTAAGCCTCAGTTTCCTCATCTGTAAAATGAAGATGATCACAGTGCCGACCTCACAGGGCTGTGGTTAGGATGAAATGAAGTGATGCCTGCCAGGCACTGAGAGCCTACACAGATACGGAAAGGCTCGAAAAAAAGAAGTAGACATTATAACCACCATGGCCATACTTCCTCCTGTTCTTTTTCCCAAGTCTTTCATTTTCATGATTGAGATCATAACACTAGATATTATTTTACATTTTGCTTTTTGCATTTAACATTGTATCATATGCATTTCTTCTCATAATTTAATTTTCTATAATCATCATTTCTAATGGTGGCATATTTTAGTTTTGGATGTTCTACAAATTATACTCATCATTTTCCACTTTTCATAGTATTTCTTTTACACTCTGAAACACATCATACAAAAAAGTTTTAGGCTCCTGTTATATCCTATTTTCCAATCTATAGTCACATCTGTTTTACATGAGACTTTACATAAATATTAGTATTTAAAAGATTTTTATCTAACATGATAGGCCTATGCAAAAATAACACATTGTTAGCTGCCATTGAGTTGATTCCAACTCATGGCAACCCCATGTGTTTCTGAGTAGAACTGTGCTCTGTAGGGTTGTCAAGGCTGTGACCTTTTGGTAATTGAGTGCTTAAAGGTTTGTGCCACCTGAGGACCTTCTTTAAATCACCATGTAATTTATTAAGGTGTGTGATATATCAAATTAGATAAAAATCTTACAAATTAAGGGAGTCCATTGTCAGAGTTCTCATCACACAGCTTAATAAATGGCATCGTGATTTAAATACTTTAGTCTCTGGAACATCCATGCAGCTAGAGCAAGGCTGTCCTGATCTGCTGGCTCCGGGCTTCCAGGTGGAAAGTCAGGCTGTAGCTATGAGGAAGCCACCAAGGCAAAGCCACCCTGGAAGGCTACTCAGTAATGACACTTGACTTTGTTACAAGTCCTCCTTTTGGACTTCTGCAAACAGTTCTTAAGTATTTAAAGCAAGTTTTACGATAACGCCAAGCATGGTATATTATTTAAGTACTTGTTTTTTCCACTTACCCTCCCTGTCCAATGACAGGTATTATCTTCACATTTTGTTGTATATTATCTCCGTTTTTCTTTTTGGTGCAGTAAATTCCTTGCCACTCCTATAAATGGAATATAAGCATCATTACACTTTCTGCTCAAAACATAAACCCAAGACCATTTCCGGCTTTAGGTTCTGATTTATTTACCATTGCTAAAACAATTAGGATAAAAAAATTATCCCAACCCAAACACAATTTTGGGTAATGTGACACTATGGTGTCTTGACTTTTGTCATCATCCCAGAAGGAGATGGACTTCAGAGGTTGACCTCCTGCAATGGTGACAAAAGGCAGGACACCATAGTCTAAATGATCATATGTCTTTGAGGGCCATCAGTTGGCAAGAGGGGCCTTGGACTCACTAATGAAGAACATGCCCCCTCACTCAACCACACAGCTTCCTTCTCTCAAACTGCTACTTCTGCAGTGGAGGAGGGAGCGTGGCCGTTGCCCCTCCATTTGGGAGAGAAGAGAATCTCAGGACTGGGGCCACTCTGTGGCCACTACCATAGTGGGCTTCCACCAGCTTCTCGGTCTGAACGGCTTGAAGCCCTCTCAGATGTGTAAGGGTTTCAGTCTCTCTGCAGGTAGGGCGGAGCTGCTGAGCTAACAGCCAGGACCAAGCTCAAGTAGAGGGAATAGTAAGAGTTTAAGACCTAGGGCTACAATTGCATTAGCCATGTTCTCGTGATCAGAAAGAATATAGGGATTCTTTGAGGAAGAGCTGTAGTCTAGGAGAGCAGGCGTGGGCAGGACTTGACTGCAGTGGGCTGGGAGTGAGAGAACGGGCTTCAGGTGGCTCACCTACTCTTGGGGTGGTGGGGAGAAGCCTGGGATGGAGCTCGGTTTTGTCACAACCTTAAAAGGTTCTGAATTCCTCCAAGATGTCACCAAGGTCCTTAAGGTACGGAAATCCCTAAAACCCACTGTAGGACACTGAACTCCTAGGAGTTCCATAACCTTCTTAACCTTCCAGAGTCTCTTGGGACCTAGAGCTAACTCAGGCAGGAAGTGGAACCTTGGTGGCTTAGCTGAAGTCTCCTGTCCAGACTCCCACACAAAGTGAATTCTAAAATCTTCTATGTTTGGAGCATGGTGACCTGCATCCAAATCATTTGCCGCTTTTAGTCCGTTAGGGGTCAAATGCCAATGGTAAGCTCTCATCTTCAGACTCCTCTGGCAAAGTGGATCAAAGAGAGAGCGGGACACCCTGACATAAGCAAAGGATGATTACTGATGGTTACTGATAAAATTCTGAAAACAATGGGCACCATGAAAACACTGCATCAAAAAACAGACTGAGAAGCCCAGCTCGGTGCTTAGCTTGCCCCGGAGCAAAAGGAAGGTACAGGCCTGTTGTGGACTGAGTTATGTCCCCCCAAAAATATGCTGAACCCCCAGCTCCTGTACCTCTGGATGTGACCCAGTTTGGAAACAGGAGTTTTGTTATGCTAATGAGGCCATACCTGAGTAGGGTTGGTCTAAACCTAATCCTTTCTGAGTGCTATCTTATAAAAAGGGAAGAGACACACACAGGGGAAGACATCGTGTGACCATGGAGGCAGATACATCTCTAAGCCCAGGAATGCCAAAGATTACCGGCAGCTACTAACAGCTGGGAGACAAAGAAGGACCTTCTCCTAGAGCCAAAGCCCTAATTTGAACTTCTATTCCCCAAAACTGTAAGAAAATAAATTCTTTAAAACCCTCACCTGTAGTATTTTTGCTATGGCAGCACTAGGTAACTAAGACTAGGTAACTGAAACGCCCTTAAATGTAGTATAGTTTTGAAGGGAGCTCAGCCTGGAGAATGAGGCCTCTACATAATTTGGCAGGTGCCAGAAACAGGTGATGACTAAACAGAGATCCCGAGGCAGAAACGAGCAGGCTGTCCTCCCTATCTCCAGCCCACACAACCACCTTGGAAAGCTGCAGCAGACAGGTGTAAGGGATATTTCTGAAGCTTACTATCAAGAGAAGTATGGGAAGGAATGTGGTGATAGCTGCACAACTCTGCCAATACACTAAAAACCACTGCATGGTATCCTTTAAATGGAGGAATTGTATGGTATGTGAATTATGTCTCAATGAAGCGGTTATATATATATATAAGAGAGTGAGAAATATGGGAGGCCACTGCAATCAGTAAGTCAGCACTTTAAAAAACACATTCAGGATTTTCTCCTCCCGTTCTTTCTAAATAGACTTGGGTAGCTGACAGATTCCAGGTAAAGGTGTAACGAACCACTTCAGCCCAAAGCTGAACAGAACAGTCCATCTACAGGGACAGGACAATTTAGCTAATGACACTGAGTAGTTAACAAAGTTGCCTCTAAGTTTTTCAGTCATCAGTAAAAACAAAAAATATTTACTTATAACAGAAATACAAGTTTTAGTTTCTGAAAATAATAATAGTACCTCCCTTAGAACGCTGTTATGAAGATTACATCAGATAACACACATAAACTCAGCAAAGTCCTAATGCAGGGCAAACACTCTGGCACAGGTCATTCAGCAGAGGCCTCACTCTCCAGGCTGAGCCCCCTTCAATTTGGTGCTGAGTGAGGGTCCACATCTCCCTTCTGCTCCAGGGCAAGCTAAGCACCAAGCTGATGCAGTCCTTTCTTGGTGCCCACTTTCTTAAGAATTGAATTATCAGCATCATGCAGTCCTATCCTAGTACAGTGCCTGCACATAGGAAATGGTCAAGGAACACTTGGGACTTTTGTTTACTAATGGAAAAGGTAGGCTGAGGCAAGACTATGTAATTCTGGCAGCCAGGCTAAGGGGCAGTATACTGAGCTCTATACTGAGGGAGTGACACGGTCAAAATGGTGACTCACTGAGACCAATCATACAATAGTCTAGGGTAGACTGACTGGGACAAGGAGACCTAACTGGACTCAGCCACAATAATCCCAGGGTGTCGAAAGAAAGTCCTGAACAAGATCAGGCCCAGGCAGTAGACATCAAGGTTTGGTGATGGATTTGCTGGAGGGGAGGCCAAAAGGCAGGGAGGAATCAAAACCATTCTAGGAAACTAAGTCTGGGCAACTGAGAGGGTGGTCCATGAGCAGAGGCACAAGAAGCTTGAAGAAGATTGGGTTTTTTGTTTATAGGGGATGAGAGAAAACCAACTCTTAGACAAATTAAGTGTTTAACAAGTTATTTTGAAGATGATGACAGGATGTTGACCAGACCTTGGAAAAGAGGCTGGAACTAGAGCCAGGGAGGCCAGGGAGGCGTAGACATCTATACGAAGCAGGAAAGATACCTCAACAATAAAGAAGGTTTCAGAGGGACGATAGTAGAGGGCAGAAGCCAGAGTCCGGTGAACCTGGGAGGAAATAGAAGGAAGAAGAGTTGGAGAAAGGAGAGTTGGTGATGGGGGAAAGGAGAAGAATCATGGGAGCCAAGGAAGGTAAATATTTTGAAAAGTTCAAGGTTTCTGCAGCAGCACATCATTACTGCGGTGTGGTGAATTACTATTATATGGCCTTTCTAGCCATGGTCTTGTAACTCCCCAAAATGATCTGCTGGGACTATGCAAATAAGGTATGTAAAACCCTTGCAGGGACTGGACAGGTTACTATGACCATGCAAATAAGATGAATGTGTCCTACCAAGGGGACTGGTCAGTTTTGCCACTCTGCTAGGCTTAAAAAGGCTAATCCCACTGAGGTTCAGGAGGACCTCACTACCATCAAGAGGAAGAGTCTGGAGCAGAATATGTCCTTTGGACCAAGGACGCAGGGTCCCTGCACTGAAAATCTCCTAGACCCAGAAGAAAGCGAACACTGAAGATGGTGAGACAGCAGCAGTGAGCTGAGCGCCTTCGGGCAACAGGCTTGCCAGCAGAGCCAAGAACTATTTAACACTTGCCTATGCAAGGCAGAGGCCTGAGTGTACTCCATGCAGGGTTTGCTTCAGATGATCCTGTGCAGTTTTCCTACAGTAGGGCAGAGTTGAACTCCTCTGTGCAGGAAGCTTTCCAATGGAACTAAAAAAGCTGTAACACTTGCTTGCGCAGGACAGAAACCTGGGTGTGCCCCGTGCAAGGGCTGCATGCCTTCCCCCCAGCAGCGGGGGCATGGGTAGTGTGCTGGCAAGAGAGCCCTGCAGGCCTGGATAGCAGGAGCCAGCAGCAGAGGCTCAGAAGGGCCCAGTGGCAGAAGCAGGAGTCTTCCAGCCAGCAGTGAGCACCAGCAAGGCCCAGCGGCAGAGCAAAAGCTTCAGGAGCCATACAGGCCTCCTGAACAGCATGGTGGTAGCCAGAGGCAGCAGTGACATGAACACAGAATTTGACCTGAACCATGGCGCATTTGCCCGTAACATAAGAATGGACATGGGTAATTTGAAAACAGGTAAGTGGTTCTCCTTGGGGAATCCGCTGTTATTGTTTAACGTTTGCTTTTTTATAAATAATAATGGCTTTCACTTTGTCAACCCTGTGAAAGTGTCTCGTGTGTCTGATCACAGATGAATGTAGCATCCATAGAATGGTTGGTGCCTGTGGGTGTAGGTTTCTCATTCCTAGCAGTCTAACAGCTGCCTGGAAGTTTGAGGCACTGCATTTCTGCACGTGCGATGCAGATAGATAGCATGTACATACAGTTATCACGGACACAGCCAACATTTATTCAGCATCTGTTATATGCCAGGGGAAAAACAAGACACAATTTCTGAGGGGAAAAAAAATTCAAAATTTGTAAGAGAGAAGAGATAATGTTAAGGCTTGGGTATGGTGGCTCAGTGGTTAAAAGCTCGACTGCTAACCAAAAGGTCGGCAGTTCGAATCCACCAGCCACTCCTTGGAAACCCTATGGGGCAGTTCTACTCTGCCCTGTAGGGTCACTATGAATTGGAATTGACTTTACAGCAACGGGTATCTGAGAAGATATGAGACTGGGTTTTAGAACTCTGATAGATTGAGAAGCCTTGGGCAAGAAGAAAAGGGAAGAGAGTCAAGAAGCATATAAATGGTGATATGAGGAAGTATGAGTGTTGGAGCTGAGAATCATGGTATCAAATAGTATGAATTTTACTCAAAAAAGGAGCCCTTGGCCGAGAATAATGGGGACAGAGTGTTTGTGGAGAGTGGTCAGTGTCTGGAATGTTCTTTGCTTGAATATTTGCAGAATTTCTCCTCTGTTCCCAAGAATATCCAATTTATCGTGAGCTTAGATTCTGACATTCCAATCCCTCCATCCCTGGTCATCTGACCCTTCCTAAGTCTCTCTTCTCCATCCCACTCTTGGTGGATGCCTGGCCTCTCCTCATTGACCACAGACTTCCACTGTTGCACAGGGATGGCTGACTCCTCAACAAGCTCCTCTTCTCCCTAGGGAGATTGAATTAGAAAGGCTATATATTTTTTCACCTCAAAAAATTGGTCAGCTAGGCAGCTAGTCTGCCGCAGTGTTGCCAGCAAACCAACAGGTTACTGAAAAAGGGCAAATGGCTCCTTTTTCACTCTTCCCAAGAACTTTGAGACATGTACAACATAAACAAGTTCCTTTCTGAAATAAAAAGCAGCTCAGAGATTGATAATATGATAATCGTTCACATCTCTGCTCACAATAAATATAGATTTTAGAGAACAGGTCTCCTGCTGTTCAAGTCTGAGGCCCTTTGTCCCTGGTGCCCAATAGCAGAACTCCAGCAGAGACGAGAAGCTATTCCCACAGATCTAAATGAATGCCTGCCCCCCTCCATCTGTACTCCTCTGTGACAGGAGCATGGACTGCTTTAATGTAAGTGTCACCAGATCAAGGTACATAAGGGCCACCTCAGATTCACTCCCAGCTGAACCTCACATATTCAATAAAACCATTGGCCAACCCAGTGGCAGCAAGGGACCTAAATGCCAAGACTCGATGGTCAGGGTAAAGCCCCCACCAAGGCTGCTGTGGTCTGAGATGAATGCCTCCTTGTGGTCCCTTCTGAGGGCACCCTTCTCAGCCATGAAAGGAAACACTAAATCTAACTCCTCAGTGGACCTGAGCACCTAAGCTCTCTTCATTTATCCTTGATTTCTCTTTCTAGAGGACTTTCTACTCTCTCTAATAAGAAAAGCATTACCCCTAGGAAAATATCCTAGAGAAATAAGAGCCATCACACAAATACACATAAGCACACCTGTGTTCACTGCAGCATTACTGACAAAAGAAAAAAGGTGGAAACAACCTAAGTGCCCATCAACAGATGAATGGATAAACAAACTATGGTACATACACACAATGGAATACTACACAACGATAAAGAACAATGCAAAACATCTCACAACATGGATGAATCTGGGGGGCATCATGCTGAGTGAAATAAGTCAACTGCAAAAGGACAAATACCGTATGAGACCACTATTATAAAAACTCAAGAAAAGGTTTATGCACAGAAAAAAACAACCTTTGATAGTTATGAGGGAGGGCAGGGGTAGGGAGGGGAAATCACTAACTAGATAGTAGACAAGTGTCAACTCTGGGGAAGGGAAAGACGACACAATACAGGGGAAGTCAGCACAGTTTAACCAAGGCAAACTCATAGAAGTTTCCTAGACACAACCAAACACCTTGAGGGACTGAGTTACTGGGGCTGAGGGCTGGAGACCATAGTCTCGGGGGACATCTAAGTCAACTGGCATAACATAGTTCATAAACAAAATGTTCTACATCCTACTTTGGTAAGTAGCATCTGCGGTCTTAAAAGCTTTCGAGTGGCCATCTGGGATACATCTATCGGTCCCATTCGTTTGGAGCAAAGGAGAATGAAGAAAACCAAAGACATGAGGAAAATATTAGTCCAAAGGACTAATGGACCACATGAACCACAGCTCCACCAGCCTGAGCCCAGAAGAACTAGATGGTGCCCAGCTACCACTACTGATAGCTGTGACAGGGATCACAACAGAGGGTCCCGGACAGAGCTGGAGAAAAATGTACAATGAAATTCAAACTCACAAAAAAAGACCAGACTTACTGGTCAGACAGAGACTGGAGGAGGCCCCGAGATTATGGCCTCCAGACACCCTGCTAACTCAGAATTGAAGCCACTCCTGAAGTCCGCTTTTCAGCCAAAGATTAGACAGGCCTATAAAACAAACGACAACACATATGAGGAACATGCTTCTTAGTTCAATAAAGTATACAAGACCAAATGGGAAACACCTGCCCAAAAGCAAAGATGAGAAGGCAGGAAGGGACAGGAAAACTGGACAAATGGTCACGGGGAACCTGGGGTGGAAAGGGGGAGACATGCTGACACGTTGTGGAGACTGCAAGCAATGTAACAAAGCAAGTGTATAAATTTTTGAATGAGAAACTAATTTGTGCCGTAAACTTTCACCTGAAACAATAAAATTTTTTTTTAAAAAAGCATCATTTGTGGCAGAAAAGTTGAAGGCAAAATAGTCTTCTAGTAGCGTCCACTTTTGTTACTCCCAGACAGCACATCACGGGGCCCTTGCTGCCACCTGTGCTTTCCTTGTTCTCACTTCAGGGGACTCTCACGTGCTCAGAGCCATGGGAAAGCAGAGAGAAATGAGCCCACTCACAGTGTCTTCAAGGGGCCCAATCCAAGTAGGGGGTATAAGTCCAGCCCCTAATTGTGGTATGGGAGAGCCAAATACCACAGGACAAAGGGCATCCCTTCCACTGGGGTCTCCACAGAAGGGGAAGGAAATCAGGTCACCAATATTCAGATGTTTTGAATAATCAGGTTAATAGTCCCTACCCAATCTCCAAAAGTGAAAAAGACCCTACTAGGACGCACCAAGAATGACTGGGACAGCAGTAGATTCTTCCTTTTCATCATGTTTTAAAACTTACTGACAATGAGATGCTGCCAGGGCCACCTCAGAAGAGAAACTACCTCTTAGACTGTGCCTGTCTTTCCTTCAGCACTATGACTGCAGGACTTCTCACATTATTTTGTAATGAATGTTTTTGTTAGTTTCCCATTCTGGAAAATAAGCTCTGTAATGACAGGAATTCTTTATTTGCTCTTCTTTCTGTACCAGGATCTAGTACAATGCCTGGCACACAGCAGGTATTCAAAAAATACTGAATGAATGAACGAGGCTCAGAGAACTGCTGGGCTCAGCTAGGTTCTGAGAACCTGTTGCCTCACCGGCAACCCTTTACACAGAACATTTACCAACATCTACCACTTAGATAATTGTTACAAAGATGAAAACAATGATTTTAAACATCAATTAAAGTTACCCTGCTTATTGGCTAATCATACCATATACTTTCTTTGCCTCAGATTCCTTATCTGCAAAACAGGGTAACAGGGATAACATTACCTAACCTTCCCCAGGCTGTTGGGAAGATAAGACTGAGATTACCTGGCACTTACAATGCTCAGTGAGCTCTAAGTCTCCTTCCTTCCCTCTTTGTTATTTCAAAGTAAAAAAGGTACTGACCTCTCACTTACCTTGCCAATCCTGATGTATGAATTTATAGTATCGAGCAAGTCAGCCTTTTTTTCATTTATAGGCACTTCAGCTAACTCCTTCCCTATTAATTCACCAGACTGATAGCCCATTGTTGTTTCAAATGCAGGATTTGCATACTGGTTGGGGAGATAAAAGAAAAAATATCAAGTGAATTAAAATAAATTTTGAAAAGAGGGTAATCAAGGGTCTTCAACCAAAGCCATCACATTTATTCCCCAGAAGGCTCAGGAACCATGGTGGTTCTAAAACTGCAACAGCACACCCTAGAAAAACCCTGGAGTCCAGAGAAGCTTCTGCTCCAGTGACACCTGGCTGGGCTTTCTGTCGTGTTCTCTTGGGGCCGGGGGTGGGGCTGGGGAGTAGGCCTACTCCCATGTAAACAATGGCAGAGGAAGAATCCACATGGAGACTGCTACAATAGGGCTGTTTGTGATACAAAGGAATACAGCACCAGACTCTTGTTAGTTGCCACTAAATCGACTCTGACTCATAGCAACTTCATGTGTACCAGGTAGAACTGCTCCACAGGGTTTTTCAAGGCTGTGAAAGCAGATAGGAAGCAGATGGCCAGGCCTGTCTTCTGAGGTGCCTCTGGGTGGCTAACAGTTGAGTGCTCAACCACTGGCACCACCCAGGGACTAACCCACACTCTACTTTCACTCCACACACTATCTGACCTCTCCAAGCCACTTAGCCCCTCCGAGGCACAGTCTAACTCATCTGTATAATGGGAATGAAATACTTATTTTACCTGTCTCATAGGATTCAAATGGATTATGCGTGCAGAAAGCAGGCTATAAACTAGGAAATGTTTATAAATGTAAAGCTTTACGGTTATATTTCAAATTGGGCTATAACACTAGGAGAAAATGTATGGAAAGCTGCACATATGCTAATGATGATAAAACAATAATTGACACTGCTTATCAAGGTTCATTTTCCTTATTAAGCACTACAGTAAGGACTTCACACACATTAACTTTGTTCAGTCCTCAGAATGCCCTTATGAAAGGTAGGTTGTTGTTATTATTATTATTCCTATTTGTACAGACAAGGAAGCAGATTCAGATGGATTAAGTGACTTGCTTAAAGTTGCACAGACCTACCAGACACCAAAGCCTGTGCCCTCAACCGCTGCCCTGTGTTGCCTCTCAGGGCACTGATCCCTGAGCAGTGACACTATCAACTCATTACCAAGAAAGGCAGAGGTTAAAACGAAGAACTGGAGTGCCCAGAACTAAAATTAAAGTTGAGCTAATTCTTCTCAGACAAAAGGAACATTTCTCTGGCACAACTCCCTTTTTTGTTGTTATCTAACAGTACAAGTCATGTATCTTAAGTCACTTCTATAAACCCACTTTGATAATAATGGTAGTTTATTCAATCATTCGTAGGTCTGTTAGTTTTGAAATGTTTTAGTTATTTATAGTAAATTTCTTTAAGTGTAAACTATCTGCAGTGAGAAATATGAATACAAACGTGATATTTTCACAGAACATTTTTCTAGCACCTTAACTTTTACTATTTTTTTCTTAGCTATAAGGAATTTATTTTAAATTATGTATTTTATAGATTTTGTTCTGATAATCCACTAAGGAAAAACTGCTCTCCTGAAGTTGAGAAAGAAAAAAAAAAATCGTATTAGAGGAGTACAATGCTAAAATATGAAAGCAAACAAAACAAGAAAGCCAGAAGGACAAATTTCCAAATTAACAAACCTGGATAATGTGGTCTTCACTTGTAATTTCAACTGCTTCTTGACTTTTTTCTAGCGCAGTGAATACCGAGTTACAAGCCCTTTATGGACAGCGAAATAAAGCACTGGTTAATATAAAGACTAAAAATCTAAGACAGTCTTGGAGTATTGCATTTTTTAAATTTTTTTTTTGTCTGATTAAAAAGGTAATACATACACATTCAAGAAAAAAAGGGAGGGACATTAAAGAGCATAAAGAAGAAACAAACATCCCTGGTGCCGCACCCCCCAACCCCTTCCCCGACAGATCATCCCTATTCACAATTTGTTGTCTTTCCTTCCAATCTGAGGAGGGAGTGGGCCAGGGTGGAACACACCTGGGTTCAAATCACAGCCCTTCACTAGCTGTGGTACCCTGGGCAAATAACTGAACCTCCTCAAGTGTACCTTCTCATCCTCTGAAGAGGCCTTGTGAGGACTACACAAGAGAATGGAGTCAAGTATCCAGCACAGAGTCTGGCAGAGAGGAGGCATTCAATCACTTGTAGCTATTATTTGAAACAAATTATTTTCACAAAATTGTGATTGCCTGGAATGACTAGCTTTCTTCACTTGTCTTACATTGTGAGCATTTTCCTATGTCCTTAGTGTTCGAAAACATTTTATTAATTACATAAGTAGCTAATGTTTATTGAAAGAAATTAGAAAATAAAGAATAAGTAAATGAGATACAACTTCATGCCTGCTAGGGTGGCTCTAATAAAAGACAGATAATAACATCTGTTGGCAAGGATATAGAGAAACTGGAACCCTCGTACACTGCTGGTAGGAAGGTAAAACAGTGCAGCCCCTTTGGAAAACAGTCTGGTAGTTCTTCAAATGGTTAAACATAGTTATCATATGATCCAGCAAATCCACTCCTAAGGATATACCCAAGAGAAATGAAAACACAGGTCCATACAAAAACTTGTACACAAATGTTCATAACAGCATTATTCATAACAGCCCAAATGTGGAAACAACCCAAATCTCTACCGATTGATGAGTAGATAAACAAAACGTGGTATATCCATACAATGGAATATTATTCAGCCATAAAACAAAATGAAGTACTACAACATGGATGAACCTTGAAAACACTGTGCTAAGTAAAGAAGCCAGCCACAAAAGGCTATGTATTGTATGATTCCACTTATATAAAATGTTGAGAATAGGCAAATCTGTAAAAACAGAAAGTAGATTAGTGGTTGTCTAGGGCTGAGGGGAATGGAAGAAATAGGGGGACTGGAAAGCGATGGCTAAGGGGTGCAGGTTTTCTGTTTGGGGGTAATGAAAATATTCTAAAATTGTCTGTGGTGATGAATGTACAACTCTGTGAATATACTAAGAGCTACTAAATTGTGTACTTTTAATGGGTGAATTATCTGGTATGTGAATTATATCTCAATAAAACTGCTAATAAAATAAATGAGCTCAAATCATCTGAAATGCCAACACCTAGACATATCAATTTATGCTCTAGACATTTTCTTATGTAAATATCTACCATATATACATATATATGATACATACACATATACACATACCCCATATTTTTACACAAATAATGCATACTTTCTAAGGTTGTCAGCTGTGTCCTCCCCCTGTGAGGTATTTTCATTAGTGCTGCTATGCCATTTTCCTTTTTTTTTTTACATGTTGCTTAAAACAAAAAAATTAGCATAGCATGCTTACAAAAATACCTTGGGTGGTGGGGGGAGGGCGCAGCTGGCAAACAAATGTAGAAGGTGTGCATTATTTGTGTAAAACTATGGTGTGTGTGTGCATATTTATAAAAAGAGTCATGTGCTACAGTTTTATAATCTGCTTTTCTCACTTAACAATATACATTAATATATTTTCATATCAATAAAACAATTTTTAATCATCAGCTTTTATAATTGTATAATATTCTATTGTAAGGTTATGTTGTAATTCATTCAACAAATCCCGTATTACTAGACACTTAGGTTGCTTCTGGGTTTTTTTCTTGCACAAGGAATATCCTAAAGGATGTAGTAGAGATTCTCTTGCCTCAGAAGAAGAAAAAAAGAAACTAACTGCTTGTTCCTAAACTTTAGCAATACTGATAAGACAACTGTAAGAATAACAATGCTTTTACATTATTCCTGGTATTATTGAATTGTCTTGCTAAACAAGACAAAGCAGCTTAGCTAACAGAAATTAGCTATTTCTTGGTACATAAAAAACCAAGAGATGGTATGTGAATTATACCTCAATAAAGCTGTTATTTAAAAAATTAAAACAAGAAGTAAGTTCCCACTTCTGATATAACAAGCTTGGAGGAAATGGAGCTGTGAGAAATTTGTCATTCTTTTTAATTTTTGCAGATCTGGTAAATAAAAAATGGCATATCATTTGCATTTCTTTAATTACTAGTGAGGCTATATATCTCTGTTCATGTTTATTAACCATTTATATCTCTTGTGAACTCTTAACCATATCTTTCAAAATTTTTTTCTGCTGGGATGCTTCCTTCTTCAATTGGTTCATGAAAGCTCTTTACATATTTAGGATAACCTAATGTCTGCTCTGTATGTTACAAACATTTTTTCTAGTTTGTCATCTGTCTAAATTTTTAAATTTTTTTAAAGGTTGTTTTATTTTTTAGAACTGTAAACAAACTTAACATTTTTATGCTGTCTAATCTGATCCTCTTCATTTATGGAATCTTTATGCCATGCTGAGAAAACACTTCATCATCCAATTATATATGTTTACTTATATTTTTAGTACTTATGTGGTCCTATTTTTTACATTTAAATCTTTAATTTATTGGAGTTTATTTTTTAGCAGAGTGTGAGACAGGAATATAATTTAATTTTCTTTCCAAATAATTAACTAGTTGTCACAATTTTATTCAATGAAAAGTCCACTCTTTCTCCTGTTGATTTCAAATGCCATGTAGATCATATACTAAATTCTTAAATGTACTCAAGTCTGTTTCTGGACTTTACAATCCAGCTCACTGATCTAGCAGTTACACAAAGTTGCTTGTTACAGCTTTTAAATGCACTTTTATACCCAGTAGAACAACTCTCTGTTTTCCCCAGTTCTCTAGCCCTACATTTTCTCCTTCTCTTCACATTTTTATATCTCCATTTGGCTGTCAGCGGGAGCACAGAGGATGCGGCAGGGCATGATGGGAGACGAGGCCAGAGAGGTGAGTGGTAGACAGGCCATGGAGAACCCTGTAGGCCACATTTTGGAGTTTGGACTTTACCTTGGAGGCAGCAGGGGGTAACAGAACAGTAACACAAATGGAGTAATGTGTTACTGCAGTGTGGAGAGTGGACAAGAAAGGATCAAGACTAGATGTGGGGAGACGAAACTGGCTGTTTCAATCATCCAGGTAGGAGATGATAATGACCTAAACTAACAGAACAGCAGTGAAGATGAAGCAAGTGAACAGATTCCAAAGGTACTTAGGAATTAAAATCAATAGGATGTGGTTAGTGACTGGATTTAGGGATGAGTGAAGGACACAGGGTTTCTGCATTCTTTCAACATTAAATATTTTTCTATTTTTCTTGCTCTACAAGGAACCAGGCTTTTATTTATATTTCACTTCTTCAAAAAACTTTATCAAGAGCAAATTATAAAACACTTATAGTAAAGAAGAAAACAGGTCATCTCCAAGAGATAACCAATGTTTATAATAATAGGGGGTGTGTGTGTATAGTAGAAGTATTTATTTTTTTCTTAAAACAGATAATTGAGTATATACAGCTTTGTATCCTGCTTGTTTTCATTTAGTAGTATTTTGGTACCCCTACTTTAAATGAGGGTAATCACTAAGGTGACCACCAGAAATCAAGGCAGACTCTACAAAGTCTGTATGATGAGAGGTGGCACCCTGCCAACCCCTCCCCACTGCCACATCCCATTTTAGCAATAGGTCAGTTATGGCTACAAAGTAAACCCATAACCGAAGTTCTCACTTGTAACACTGGCCCGTGTGGCCCAGTGGGCTTTCCAAAAGTGGTAGAATTACCTGAGTTTCAGTTGGGATCGCACTTCTCCATACTCCAGCTGGATTAGTTCATTGTAACAGGCCATGATGCTAGGGTTTTCTACATACCTCTACAACAGAAAGGGAAATTATGTGGATAAACAAATGTGCATCTTTAGATAATTATGAATATCAATACAAATAAGCAATTCTTTTCAACATATTCCTTAATTGGGAATTGGGACACTGAAATCTAAAAAATACTTTATTATCATTAGTGATGCACAGAAGATAAGAGATGAAGTTTACAGGCACGAAATTGGCTTTTCAAAAAATACAGTTTAAGAATGCTTTTCTTTCAGTGCTTTGAGTTGAGTAAAGAGGATTTTGATGGTCTTCATGGCACTGATAAAGCAGAGGCTAAAATATGGAGGAGACCATTTTTTAACTAAAGTCCTATTAATATTAGGCTTTTATAGAGTATATTGACTTATTTAAGAGCAATAGTTAATCCTCTGTAAATTCATATAAGCTCACAGTAAGTGAAAATATGCTTCCATTTCTATTTACACCTGTATTTTAACTCAACTCAACCTTAACTCAGGCAACACTTTGCTACCCTGTTGTTATTGTTGTTGTTAGGTCCATTGAGTCATAGTGACCCTCTGTACAACAGAACAAAACACTGCCCTGTCCTGAGCCATCCTCACAATCTTTGCTATGTTTGAGCCCATTATTGCATCCACTGTGTCAATCCATCTCGTTGAGGGTCTTCCTCTTTTTCCCTGACCCTCTACTTTACCAAGCATGATGTCGTTCTCCAGGGAATGGTCCCTTCTGATAACATGTCCAAAGTATGTGAGATGAAGTCTCGCCATCCTCGATTCTAAGGAGCATTCTGGCCATACTTCTTCCAAGACAGATTTATTTGTTCTTCTGGCAGTCCATGATATATTCAATATTCTTTGCCAACAACATAATTCAAAGGCATCACTTCTTCTTTGGTCTTCCTTATTCAATGTCCAGCTTTCACATGCATATGAGGTGACTGAAAATATCATAGCTTGGTTCAGGTGTACTTTAGTCCTCAAAGTGACATCTTTGCTTTTCAACACTTTAAAGAGTGATTTGCAGCAGATTTTCCCAATGCAATGTGTCGTTTGATTTCTTGACTGTTGTTTCCATGGGTGTTGACTGTGGATCCTAGTAAGTGAAATCCTTGACAACGTCAATCTTTTCTCGGTTTATCATGATGTTGCTTATTGGTCCCGTTGTGAGGATTTTTGTTTTATGTTGAGGTGGAATCCATACTGAAGGCGTAGTTTTTGATCTTCATCAGTAAGTGCTTCAAGTTCTCTTCACTTTCAGCAAGCAAGGTTGTGTCATCTGCATGTCGTAGGTTGTTAATGAGTCTTCCTCCAATCCTGATGCCACATTCTTCTTCATATAGTCCAGCTTCTCGGATTACTTGCTCAGCATACAGATTGAATACATATGGTGAAAAGATACTACCTTGGCGCATACCCTTTTTGATTTTAAACCATGCAGTATCCCCTTGTTCTGTTCGAAGGACTGCCTCTTGGTTATGTACAGGTCCCACATGAGCACAATTAAGTGTTCTGGAATTCCCATTCTTTACAATGTTATCCATAATTTGTTATGATGCACAGTTGGATGCCTTTGCATAGTCAATAAAACACAGGTAAACATCCTTCTGGTATTCTCTGCTTTCAGCCAAGATCCATGTGACATCAGCAATGATATCCCTCGTTCCATGTCCTTTTCTGAATCTGGAATTGAATTTCTGGTACCTCCCTGTCGATGTACTGCTGTGTCTTAGTCATCTAGTGCTGCTGTAACAGAAATACCACAAGTGGATGGCTTTAACAAAGAAATTTATTCTCTCACAGTCTAGTAGGCTAGAAGTCCAAATTCAGGGAGTCAGTTCCAGTGGAAGGCTTTCTCTGTCTGTCGGCTCTAGGAGAAGTCCTTGTCATCAATCTAGGAGCTTCTCTGTGCAGTAACCTCAGGTCCAAAGGATGTGCTCTACTCCCAGCGTTGCTTTTTTGGTGCTACGAGGGCCCCCTGTCTCTCTGCTAGCTTCTCTCTTTTATATCTCAAAAGAGATAGGATTTAGACAAAATCTAATCTTGTAGATTGCCTCCTGCCTCATTAACATAACTGCTGCTAATCCCATCTCATCACATCATAGAGACAGGATTTACAACAAATAGGAAAATCACATCAGATGACAAAATGGTGGACAATCACACAATACTGGGAATCATGACCTAGCCAAGTTGACAGATTTTTGGGGGGCACAATTCAATTCATGACATGCTGCAACTGCTTTTGAACGATCTTCAGTGAAATTTTATTTGAGTGTGATATAATGATATTGTTCAATAACTGCCACATTCTATTGGATCACCTTTCTTTGGAATGGGCATGTATATGGATCTCTTCTAGTATACAGGTCTCTTCCAGTAGGTTGGCTAGGTAGCTGTCTTCTAAATTTCTTGGCATGGACAAGTGAGTGCTCCTAGCGTTGTATCCGTTTGTTGAAACATCTCAATTGGTGTTCCGTCAATTCCTGGAGCCTTGTTTTTTGTCAATGCCTTCAGGGCAGCTTGGACTTCTTCCTTTGGTACCATTGCTTCTTGATTATACGCTACCTCCTGAAATGGTTGAATGTTGATCAATTCTTTCTGGTACAGTGACTCTGTGTATTCCTTCTAACTTCTTTTGATGCTTTCTTCATTGTTCAATTTTTTGCCCATAGAGTCCTTCAATATTGCATATCGAGGCTTGAATTTTTTCTTCAGTTCTTTCAGCTTAAGAAATGCCGAGCATGTTCTCCCCTTTTGGGTTTCTAAGTCTAGGCCTCTGCACATTTCATTATAATACTTTGCCTTCTCAAGCCTCCTTTGTAATCTTTTGTTCAGCTCTTATGTGATCGTTTCTTCGGTTTGCTTTAGCTACTTTATGTTCAAGAGCAAGTTTCAGAGTCTCTTCTGATATCCATTTTGGTGTTTTCTTTCTTGCCTGTCTTTTTAATGACCTCTTGCTTTCTTCATGTATGATGTCCTTGATGTCAGCCCACAATTGGTCTGGGCTTCAGTTGTCAGTGTTCAATGCGTCAAATCTATTCTTGAGATGGTCTCTAAACTCAGGTGGGATATACTCAAGGTTGTATTTTGGCTCTTGTGGACTTGTTTTAATTTTCTTCAGCTTCAACTTGAACTTGCATATGAGCAACTGATGGTCTGTTCCACAGTTGGCCCCTGTCCTTTTTTGACTGATGATTATTGAGCTTCTCTATCTTCCCTTTCCACAGATGTAGTCAATTTGATTCCTGTGTACTCCATCTGGCAAGGTCCATGTGTATAGTTGCCATTTATATTGTTGGAAAAAGGTATTTACAATGAAGAAGTTGTTGGTCTTGCAAAATTCTGTCATACGATCTCTGGCGTCATTTCTATCACCAAGGCCATATTTCTCCAACAGATAAGTGGTGGTTTGCTACACTAACGACTAACAACAGCACAACTAAGCCAAGAAATGATTATCCTCCATGGCAGAGGGACTGATAAAAGTCATGGATTTGCCAAGTATTTCTTATTGCTGGGGACATTAGCTGTTTTTTGCAGCAACATTTACATAAGGGAAACATCTCATGCCAATTAAAGAAAATTACATGGATCTGAGAAGCACAGACCCACCCCACTAAATTATGTATCCCATGAAGATATCTTAGAAGCCACTGTGTTCTGACACATTGTTCCATTCAGATTTAAAAAAAAAAAAAAAAATCTGTGAACATTTACTCATCCCTATTCCTGTGAGCCCTGGTGGCACAGTGGTTAAGAGCTCAGTTGCTAACCAAAATGTTGGCAGTTCGAATCTACCAGCTGCTCCCTGGAAACCCTATGGGGCAGTTCTACTCTGTCCTATAGGGTTGCTATGAGTCAGAACCAACTTGATGGCAATCATTTTTTTTTTTTCCTTTGGTTTATTTCTATGAACAGTTCTTTGCTTTTACCCGCTCAATAAATGGATTACACCCTATCTGACTGTGGAGGAAGCTGAGGCCTAAGAGATGGGGCATCTGCAGCCTACTATCTCCAAGTCTGAGTCTGATGCAGGGCCCCTTCCAGAGTTCCTTCAGTTGCCAGGGCAAAGGCAGATGTCCCCAACTGAACAGCAATCAGGGTCCTGTCCGGGTATCAGGCAACCTAACGATCCAATTCCAGATGATGCACAAAAGCAAAAGATCTCAAATAAGTCTACCATTGCAATGAATTACAAAACAAGCATCAAAACTTAAGTACGAGCCACTAAAAGCAAAAGTGGTGAAAGTCAATTTTTTGTTGTGGGAGATCAACAGAATTTTAGATTGATAGTTGAAACAATTAAGTTCACTGACTCATTTTCTTTGTTGTAGAATATGTGGAATATTCTTTTTGTAGAAAATGTGGTATATAGTAACAATCTTAGTATCCTGCATCCACCAAAAATTTTATAATCTAGTTCATCTCATTCCATTAAAATGGCATACTACTCCAGTTTTGTGTTCAATCACTAATATTATAGTCACATTTAAAAAAGAAGTATCGTGGACAGCTTAAGACACACACATACATATATATATATATATATAACTCACATATCTTGTTCGAATGTGTGAGTAAGCAGAGGAAGGTGCACCACAGATTATCAGTGTTTACAGCCCTCACATGCCTTAATCCCGCCCTGTTTTACCTCCACCACCTCTTCACAAACTTGCGTAACGCCTTAGGTTTGCTAAAATAATCCAGAAATTAAATACTAAGCTATTATTTATATTTCCCTTTTGTTATGGCCCTTCTGTTGCAAGGATATTATATGTTCTATTCATTTAGGCCTAAGAGATAGATAGATAAAATTAAACACACACATATGCACACATGTATGTACACAGAGAGAGAGGAAAAAAAGGAGAGCCAGAGAAAGAGGAAGGTAGTGTGAGAGAACATGCACATGGCAGGCTTCATTGCTCTCCACTTTTCCTCTCCTCTTCATCTTCCCTTATCTTGCAGTTTCTGCTCTAGGTCATTTCTTAGATGGTCAGTCTTTTCTCAGTTATTTTCCTCAGATAGGGTTCTTAGGGGAATTTATCTCTGATTTTTATGTATACTCCCAAGTATCTTTCTTTTGCCCTGAAAGGTGAACGGCAACATGGCTGGTGAAATTCTTGGGTTGCAGTCTCTTTCTACAATCACTGATTGAACTAGACGTTATTATTACTGTTTTATATTCACCATTTTCTTTGCTCTTCATTCCTCCTCGCATTTCAGATCTTCTACCTGGGATCACCTTCCTTCTGCTTTAACGATAACCTTTAGAATTTCCTTTTGTGAGGGTCTGCTAGTTATGAACTCCCTGTTTTCATCTTTCTGAAAGTCTTTATTTCATCCCCATTTTTAAACGATATTTATGCTGGGTATAAAATTCTAGGTTGGCAATTATTTTTTCCTACCACATTAAAAATATTATTCCACTGTCTTCTGATTTCCATTTGTTGCTGTTGACAGCTATCAGTCTGTCATTCTTTTGAAGGTAATCTTTTTTCTCTGGCTTATTTAAAGATCTTCTCTATGTTTTTGGGGATTCACTATGATGTATCTTCTTTTCATTTACTCTACTTTGGATTTGTTGAAGTTTTTGAATCTGTGGACTGCAGTCTTTCATCAGTTCTGGAAAATTCTCAGTCGTTCACTCTTCAAATATTTCCTCTGCCCCATTCTCTCTCCTCTCCTTCTGGAACTTCAATTATATATATGCTAAACCTTCACACACTATTCTCCACTTTTTTTTTTAACCTTTCTAACTGATTTTGTATCTCTGTGCTACATGCTGGATAATTTCTGCTGATCTATTGTCTAAGTTTAAAATTTTTCAGTTGTGTTTTTCATTTCTCCAAACTCTATTTTGTTATGTTTAAAATCTGTTATGTCACTTTTTAGTTTCCTATTCCTTTCTGATATTTTCAAGCTTTTGTTGTCTTTTATTTCTTTACATATAATATGCATAATTACTTTATAATTCATGTCTGAAAATTCTACTATCTGAGGAGTGTGCGGGTCTGTTTCTGCTGTCTTGCACCCCTCGTCCCTCAGCAGTTCTTAGTCATGATGTCTTGACTCCTTGTGAATTGGTTAGCTTTGCCTGAGTGCTTGCCTGTTGCTCTTTTTTTTTTTTTAATTTTTTTATTGTACTTTAGATGGTTTACAGAACAAATAGTTTCTCATTAAACAGTCAGTACACATATTGTTTTATGACATTGGTTAACAACCCCACGACATATGAACACTCTCCTTTCTTGACCTTGAGGACCTTTTTTTCGGTGAAAATATACATAGCCAAAGTTACACCACTTTGAAAGTTTCTACATGTATAACTCAGTGACATCGATTACATTCTTCCAGTTGTGCTGCTATTCTCACTATCCTTTTCCAAATTATTCCATCACCATTATCTTCAACTCACTGTCCTCTAGGCTTCCCATCAAACCTTTTGAGTTGCTGTTGTCGATTTGATCTCACATAGATAATTCTTTTTCCTTTTTTTTTGTACCTTAGATGAAGGTTTGCAGAACAAATAGTTTCTCAGTTAAACAGTACACATATTGCCCTATGACAATGGTTAACAACCCCATGACATGTCAACACTGTCCCTTCTCAAACTTGGGTTCCCTATTACCAGCTTTCCTGTCCCCTCCTGCCTTCTAGTCCTTGCTCCTGGGCTGGTGTGCCTCATTAGTCCTGTTCTGTTTTATGAGGCTGTCCAATCACCGGCTGAACAGTGAACTTCGGGAGGGGTTTCACCACTGAGCTGAAAGGGTGTCCGGGGGCCATACTCTCGGGGTTTCTTCAGTCTTTCAGGCCAGTAAATCTGGTCTTTTTTTGTGAGTTAGAATTCTGTTCTATACCCTTTTCCAGCTCTGTCCAGGACCCTCTATTGTGATCCTGGTCAGAGCAGTCAGGGGTGGTAGCCGGGCACCATCTAGCTGTACTGGGCTCAGTCTGGTGGAGGCCATGGTAGCTGTGGTCCAGTAGTCCTTTGGACTAATCTTTTCCTTGTATCTTGTTCTCTTCATTCTCCCTTGCTCCCAAAGGGGTGAGACCAGTGGAGTATCTTACATGGCTGCTCACAGGTTTTTAAGACCCTGGGTGCTACTCACCAAGGTAGAATGTTGAACATTGTCTTTATAAACTGTGTTATGCCAATTGAGCTAGATGTTCCCCGAGACCATCGTCCCCACAGCCCTCCGCCCAGCAAGTCAGTCCCTCAGGGAGTTTTGAAGTGTCTATGGAGCTTCCATGACCTTTCCTTTTACAAGCTGTGCTGGCTTCCCCAGTAGTGTGTACTGTCTGACCCGTCACCAAAGTTACCACCTATCTATTTAGTTTCCCCCCACTCCTCCCATCCCTCATAACCAACAAAGATTGTTTCTTTTTGTGTATAAACTTTTACATGAGTTATACAGTAGAGCTCTCATACAATATTTGTCCTTTTGTGGTTGACTTATTTCACTCAGCATAATGTCCTTCAGTTTTGTTCCTCTTACTCTCCTGTGCTGAGTTCCTTTTGTTTGTGGATTTTTTTTTCATTTCTTTTGTTTTTGTTTGTACTGAGACTTTATGGTTTTCTTCTTTATTTTGATGTGTAGGTTTGTTAACTTTCTTTGTGGTTACCTTGAAATTTACCCTTATCTTCCTAGATTTGAACCAGTCTATGATTACTTGGTATCACTTGACTTCCTCTCCATTAGAAGGTTCTATATCTACACTGTTTATTCCCTCTTTTATTGTTCTGATGCTGTTGTCATTTACAGATTAACCTCTCTGGTTCCCTTTTGTAATGCCTGTTGCTCTTGAACAACTACTTGTGGAGATTTTCCAAGGCCAAAGATAAAGGTGTCTTCCTCTGGGAAGGATTTATATTTGCTTCTGCCAGGAACCTAGCAGTACTCCTCTTCCAGAACCACTATAAACTAAATTCATGGCTTGAAGTTTCTTGGCTACCTCACTGATACAAATTTGAGCTACAAATCTGCCCAAGGGTCAGCCTTACTTAAGTTTTCTCCATCATGATTTCTAAGGCCTCATTTGCAACCTACTTTACCATGGGATATGTTTTTATGGAGCCTTGGTGGTGCCAGTGATTAAGCGTTCGGCTGCTAACCAAAAGGTCAGCAGTTTGAATCCACCACCTGCTCCTTGGAAACTCTATGGAGCAATTCTACTCTGTCCTATAGGGTCGCTATGAGTCAGAATCAACTCAATGGCAACAAGTTTGGTTTGGACTGAGGCTCCCAGCAGACTTTTGGGTTAGGAGAAACCAATAGATTAGAGCTGGGGTGGAAGAAAACAGAGTAGTGTTTGGGTTGCCTTATTTATAGAATCCCTGAAGTAGTCTTAAAAGTTGCAAGTATCCATATAAGCATTATAAAAATATATCCCGTGGTATCATTTTAATGAGTAAAGCATTAAAGATTTTATTATGTTTATATGACTAGCAGACATAGTTTTAAGAGAATAAGAAAGTAGAGTGTGGTAGATTAGACTATTCAGTTATAAAGTTACACCAAACAGTAACACAGTATAAGGACATTTTTTTTTTAACTTCGAATTAATTCAAAACTTTTGCTGAGCACTGAACTGAGAAAAAATAATTTCTCACACTGAATTATACTTGTATAACAAAGAAGCCGGTACATACCCTTGTAAAGCCAGCAGCAATGAGGGGCATGACAGATGACTCTTCTCTATCTCCCCTTCAAAAGAACATGGTAAAAGGTTAGAGAAAGTTTTATCAATTATATCTCACTCCTTTAACTATTCATTAATTTACGTAATACTGCTACTGGGCTGTCATATAATGAGTACTTTTAGATGAATCAGATTAATATAAAAATTTAAAGTATAAAGTTGAAAACAATTTTCTGTTTCAATTTCACATTTAGTTTTTTGGCAGTATATATTAATACTGAGATTATATTAGCAGCTAGAATACAGGGATGTGCATATGCCTATTTAATATGTAAAAACTTAAGTTTAAACTAAATTATCTCCTATTTGCTTCTACTTTCAGTTTATTTAAAAAAAAAAGTTAGAAGTTCCCTCCTCCCCCTAACAGCTCAGGATACAAGTTTAAAAGACACAGAAATATTTCTTACATCTATAAAAATATATAACCTAAATAACATTTATTTGAATACTACCCTCCTCCTCACATATTTCTATTCTTTCCTCACCTTCAACTGAAGGATGAAATACAAGACTTTCCCCCATTTCTATTAAATTCAAATCTTCATGGAAATCTGAGTTAGAAGGCCCTAAGAAGATACCTCTGGAAAACGTTGATACTTTTAGGAATGGAACTCTCTGATGGTTTGTCTATTTCTAAAGTAAAAGGCAGTTCAAAATCACGGAAACTCCCTCCATAAAGTTATCGGAGAAGCAAAAGAAAGTAGGAAAGAAGAAAGAAGAAAAGGCCAAACTAAATAGAATCATGCCTGTTACAACATGCAAATTATTATTCAACCACCTGTAAGAGCAAGCATTATACAGTCACTTGAATTTCAACACTGGAAAAAATAAAAGTTTACCTGCGTACAACACCAACAATAACTGTGTTTTCTGAGAGTTTTGATGATCTGACAGACCTTAAAAAAAAAAAAAAAAAAAAAACTTTAAAATAAATTTAAAACAATTCTTTAAAAACAAATACACTTAATTTTGGTAGAACAATTAAAGTTGGGGGGGGTAATAAGGGAGAGCAAAAGATCCCTTCACACTTTGGATTCATCTTTTTCTTTTGGAGACAAACTCCTAATCAGTGTCCTGTGGGAACCATAACAATTATGGAGTCCAAATATATCAGCTAACTGAGGTGATGTGCCTTCTATTGGTTTTAGTCTTTGTTAACCTAAGTTGTTTCAGGTGGAGAATTTTCTCTACCTTGCTCTTGCATGAAAAGGGCTATTTGTCTCTTCTTACCAAAGGGAAACACTTGTATTATCACAAGCTGATGGCTAGGCTTAAGGCAGGGATGAAGGAGCCCAAGGATCAGCTCTCCCCCCACTGTATTCTGAGCAGCACAAAGAATGAAGAGTTCTTAGGTTGAATGGAGGCAACAACACCACAAATTCAAAATTAGGTAATGCAAGATATTCTTATCTGTCAGAAAGAAGGGAATCAATACCTGATAGAAAAGGTTAAGAACACGGCCTAGTCCAGAAAAGAAGAAAGTGCCCCACTGAAGTTACCCAAGGAGTATGAGGCTCCCCATACAAAGAGTGATTTAACCCTTCTAGAGAAGAAGATTCCCAAGAGGCTATCAAAAAACTCAAACCAAATCCACAGCTGTTGAGTTGATTCTGACTCATAGTGACCCTACAGGACAGAGTAAAACTGCCCATAGGGTTCCAAGGTTGTAATCTTTATACAAGCAGCAGACTGCCACATCTTTCTGCCACAGAGTGGCTGGTGGGTTTGAATCACTGACCTTTCAGTTAGCAGCCAAGTGCTTTAACCACTAGACCACTAGGCCTCCCCAAGAGGCCATGAGGAATGAAAATCCAGCCAAGACACAGAGAGGGCAGAAATAAACGTGACACAGAGCAGGAGAAGAAGGAAAAGAAACTGCTCCACTGGAGATATGCGACAGCTTCAACTCATCCTATGCTGAGGGAAGAAAGTAGGACTCTGGAAAAGAAGAATCAGGCTACAGGAGAAGAAAGGGGCCCAGCCCCTGGACTGGGGGAAGAAAAGACTTAGGCTGGAGGGAGACTTTAGACGGAGGGAAATGGAGAGGACTATGCCCAGCCTGCGCCAGCCAAGTCAGAAGTGTGCTGGCCTCCTTTACAATGTATCCAGGATGGGACAGAGACCAGCCAAGACTTAAAGCATTACTTTAGCTCTTTCAGTTAAAGTAGAAACACTTCTGAATCACAGAACAGAGAAAATGATTTGAGTGCTTATTTCTCGATTCTCCTAAGGATGGCACATAACTTTGAACCATTCTAGATGCATAAGAGAGAAGTTAATTCATTATACACAATAGATGCCTCAGTCTTAGCAGACTTTTTCTGTAAAGGGCCAGACAGTAAATATTTCAGACTTTGCAGGCCATTCAGACTCTGTTGCAACTACTCAACTCTACCACTGTAGCATGAAAGTAGCAACAGAAAATACATAAATGAATAAGCATGACTGTGTTCCTCTTTGACCACCCATGCATTAGGGTACTGAGACTTAATTTTCTTGTGGAATCCAGGTTGAGAAAGGCTTAGAGTCTACAGATGTAGACTAGACCTGGGGCAGGAAAGTTGCTCGGGGATGGAAAAGCAGCTCTCATGGGCCATGTGGCCAGCCAGCCTGCCTTCCTTTCTGCTTTTCCCAGTGTCCACTCCATACTCTTCTAGCTCCCATCTGCTTATCCTCTCCTGAGGGAGCCAACCTAAACGGCACTGCATGGCTCTACTGGAAGAGCCCTTCCTTCTCAACTGGTCACTGCAGGGCTTGCTGGCCAAGTGTCAATCCCTGGTCCAACCATGGTCTCTCTGTCTGAAGACCAAGCAAGCACAGCTTCCAAGATAAGGGGCCATGGGAGGGGCTGCTTCGACTGGGAAGGGTCACTAGCATGGCAGGTACTCACACAGTTCAGTTGTCAAAATTGATGACAAATATTTATCCTAGCACTAATCTTAAACAGGGAATGAGAAACATGGACTCAGAAATGGTATTTCCATGGCTTCTTTGCACATTCTATTTGTTCTTATTTTTATGTTTCCAACAAATCAAAAGAGATTTGGAGAGAGGACAAGCAAATTTAAGTATGCAGCCAGCCATCCCCAGCCAGCTCTTTTATGTTTAAAAGAAAAACAAGGATCTGGGCAATATAATAGCACATAGACAACCAGGCAGATGATCTGATTAAGTAGTTTTGGATTTCCCACCCATTACTGGATATACAGGTGTGATGGACATTTGGCTAAGGATGAAGTGGAAGGGAAGATCATGCTTTACCTGGAGATAAGCTGATCCCTTCAAAGGAGCTCTAAAACTGTGTAAAAAGTCAGATGTGTATGGCTGACTTTTTCTGATCAATAAGAGGGAAAAACTGGCTAGGAAATAGAAATGTCAGAAACTGGGTTGGAAAATAACACCCTTGCTTTAGAATTAATGAAAACTACGAAAGAAATGGCTTGGCATAGTGAAAATGTACACCTAGACTTTAGGAAGGCAGATTTCTAGGAAAAAAGAGTATGATTCTACAGTATGAGGTTCTGAAAGGTAGAGGAAGCATGCTGGGAAGCTCTTAAAACCATGCAACCTTGGTGTATCATTAGGATGAGATTTGGCTAAACATAATAGAACCACTCCCCTAGAAGATGTGCAGAGGAGGCAGTCCAAGGCTACCAGGGCACCCTGCAGTGTCAGAACCAGACTCCCCTCAGAATTTGTTCCTGGTTCTTTCCTTGTAGTTCAAGATAGATGTTTGAGCTCTGACCATAATGTCCACATTCCAAACAACAGGAAGAGTGTAGAAGAAGGGTATGCACCCTCCAAGGACACTTTCCAGAAGATGCACATACTTCCACTGGCCAGCTATGAGAAAAGTTAGGAAATGCAGTGTATTTTCTAGGTGGCCATACACCCAGCTAAACATCAGAGATTCTATTATCATGAAAAGAATGGAAATGGGTTTTGGGGGCAACTACCGGTCTCAAGCCATATGAGGCAACTACCAATGATTCTGATGAGTCTCAACACAAAATTGGGAAAAAAAGTCCACACAAGGGAGGCTTCCTATAAGAACACAGCAAAACCCTTTAATGAGTTAAGTTTTATAACAGCACAATGCCATTGCCCGCACATTGCTTCTGTTCTCTCTGCTGTGTGGAGTTTCAGATTGTAAAGAATGGAATTTACAGTGGTAAAAAGGATGTGCAGGCCAAAGTGAATCAAAAGACTGAATGAAAGCATCATGCATTCTGAGTTCAATCTTGCTTCAGCATTCAACACGGATTTGAATTCTGTTAATGTATTTTAGGTTTCTACACAGTGCTTTATTTCTGCCAGCTCCCTTTATAAAATCTTCCCTTTCATTACAAAGTCCCAGTCCTGCTGCACAAAGGACTATTTCTTCACTTCTTCCGAGTACACTAAGCATATGTCTTCTAAAAGGCTCATCAGTTTCTTGTTAAAAATAATCTTCTTAGTCTTTAGGGCTCTTCTTTCCCCCTCCATATGTTGTGGCAGCTTTTCACAAGCCTCGTTCTTTATCCTGCTTACTCACTCCTGAGAGGAAACAACATCTACTCAGGCCAAGAGATGGCCAGCAGAGAGGGTCAGAAGTTTCATTACACTTCTTCACTGTACATTTTGGTGTCAGCAGCTGTCCTCCTCTTAAGTCTAGACCTGCAGATCAGGTGAAAGGGTGCCCAGTGCAGGCTGAGAAAGTGCTGCCAGCAGGCATCCTTACAGCATGGCTCCACTGCACAGAGCAGGCGCCTGCTCTGCTCTCTCCGTTCTCTAACTCAACCTGAGAATCTGATGCAATTTGTTGTTTTGTGAATATAGCAGTTTGTGAAGGACTGTTCCCAGGCTGCTTATGCCTCTGTTCCTTCCTACAACACTTTGTCTCTGTCCATCTCCTTCTGCTCCCTGTCTTTGGTTTCCAAACAAATGTAGAAAGTAAATGAAGGAAGCTGGAGGGCAGGCCTCTGGCCAGCTCACAGAAGCGTAGCTGCTCAGCTGGGGCTTAGCCATCTGTTCCTCCGGCCAGTTCATGTCCAGCATCCTAGGCTTGGCAGGACACAGTGAGAGTGAAGCAAAACCTTTTCAGCTTCTGAGATTGAAGTATGTGAGGGACAGTCCAGGAATAGGCTTTTTTAATTTTATTGTGCTTTAGGTGAAAGGTTACAGCTCAAGTTAGTTTCTCATACAAAAATTTATACACATATTGTTTTGTGACATCGGTTGCAATCCTTTTATTATGACAGCACTCTCCCCCTTTCCAGCCTGGGGGTTCTTTGTGACCATCTGTCCAGTTTTCCTGTCCCTTCCTGCCTTCTTGTCTTACTTTTGGGCAGGAGTTGCCCATCTGGTCTCGTGTATTTGACTGAACTAAGAAGCACATTCTTCATGTGTGTTATTGTGTTTTATAGGCCTGTCTAATCTTTGTCTGAAAAGTGAGCTTTGGAAGTGGCTTCAGTTCTGAGTTAGCAGGGTGTCTGGGGGCCATAGTCTCAGGGGTTCCTCTAGTCTCTGTAGAACAGGCTTCTTAATTAGTCCCCATGGTACAACAGATATAGCGGGAATCCGTGTCCTTTTCTGTTCCCCTAGCTTCTGACATCTCTCTCATCATATCTTTGTATTTTTATTGCTGTAGTCAACCCTTGTCTCTAACTATCTTCATGAGTTTTTTGATAGGAAGTTGGGAGGAGGCACAGACATCTGGCACCACACAAGATGGCCTCTAAGAGCTTCACAACTCACTGATTTGCCTCTTCAACTCCATTCTCCACTTGGCAGCTAGAATGATCTTTCATCTACTCTTGATGCTCTCTTGCATAGAATAGGTCAGTGTCTCAACTGCCTACAGAGTGAAGCCCAACCCTTTTGGCTCAGCACACAAAGCCCCTGTGATCTGGCTCGTGTCTGCAGCTCTAGCCTCACCATCAGCCACAGTCCACCTCTGCCTGATCCAGCAGCCACATAAAACTTGCAGAGGAGCCCTGGATACCCCGAGCTCACTGATGCCTGTCCCTACACAAGCTGCTCCTCTACCCAGAAGTTTTCTCCGCCTTTCCTCCTTTCAAAACTCTTGCTTATCCTTCAGGAATCAACCTAAATGTCCTTGTGGAGCCCTCCTAACACTGGCACTCTGTATATACCTCATCTGTGGGCACTTATTCTCCTGTGCTGAAATCACTTACTTGCCTTGCCAACTAAAGCATTAGCTCCTCAGGGGCAAGAGCCATGTCTTATTCATTTATGTATTTCTAGTACCAAATACAGTGCCCAGAACTGAGAAAACTTGCAAAGCAGTGTTCTTAAACTGGCAGACTTGGGAAATGTAGCAGACACAGAATAGTTGACCTTTAACAAAGCATCTTATAAGGAGTATAAGGAGTTCCAAATGCCCCCAACAGAGAGATATAAATGAATGCTAGTCACTCAGGTCAGCAGCTGATGAAAAACTGATCATAGGGCATCTCAAAAGGGAAGATGAAGGGAAGGACAGAGCTCTGCCAGGGCTAAGGTCTTGTGAGCTGGGTAATTTGCTGAGAGAGAGTGTAAGCGGCTCAGGAGGGGAGCCCAGAAAGACTCCTTGAAGAAATAGTCTATAATGGACAGGCATCCTTAAAGGGGATGATCTTAAGGAAGATAAACCAGGTAGGACCAGAATCCAGATGAACCAACCAACTTAGGATAAATAAAGGCAGGGCCTACTCTTGCCTCTAGAAAACTCACTATAAATGGCACAAGGACCCTCTACCACCCACAAACAATATGAGGATAATATGGTGGAATGCCAGTTAGTAAGAAAGACCAGGGCTGTGACATGACCATCGGGAAAGGAATGAGATTGTGGGCTGTGCTCATAAAGGTCCATTCTCTGGCTAGCACAGGGAAGGTGACTATTCTGCCTTCTCTTCACTGGTCCATCCAAATCATCCAGGTTTCAGTCCTGGAGGATATGCTTACATGAGATATCAATCGGAAGAGCATATTCAGAGGGCTCTGTGAGGAACTGCTGACAGCAGTGAGGATGTGCTCAATCCAGGAAGGAGAAGACATCTCAGGGGAACACAATCCCTGTCCTCAAATGTTGGAAACCCATTCTGGAGAAGGAGATTAGATTTGCTCTAGTGACCCTGTAAAAGGAGCCATGGTGGTACAGTGGTTAAGCACCTGGCTACTAACCTACAGTCAGTGGTCTGAACTCACTAGCCGCTCCTTGGGAGAAAGATGTGGCAGTCTGCTTCCATAAAGGTTACAACCTAGAAAACCCTACGGGGCAGTTCTACTCTGTCCTACGGGGTCATTATGAGTCAGAATCAACTAATGTAACAAAACAACAACAACAAAATGACCCTGTGAGTCGTATCTCTCAACATGACAGAGAACTTATGGGTATCAGAGCTCTCTCTTGGGAAGCCCTAAATCCCCAGCAGAGTCTGCATGGGGGATGATGGAGCTTTGTAGATGAGATGTACACATGACATTTTATATTTCACTAAAACCACATCCAGTTCACAGTCTTTATTTTTAAAATTGTATAAACTTATTTACATGATGAGAGAACTCTTAATTATAATTCTTATGAAATTTGTTATTTGTGTATGTTTTTGACTGAGTATTATGTAACATTACTTTTTGTGACTTAAATACTTCAACTCTACTAGTCTATAAGCTTCTAAGAACATTGTATTTATTTTTAGTCTAGAAAACTCTCTTGTATAGATAGTGCTCAACAAAAATTTGCTGAAGAATTAACACTATTTTAGTATTGTTACATAAAACGTATAACAATAGTACATTTTCCTCCCTTAAAAAGTGGAGCATAACGAACACAACTTAACCTTTCTTTACGGAGGTCTGGTGGTGCAGTGGTTAAGCACTTGGCTGCTAACCAAAAGGTCGGCGGTTTGAACCTACCAGTCGCTCCGCAGAAGAAAGATGTGGCAGTCTGCTTCTGAAAAGATTACAGCCTTGGAAACTCTATGGGCAGTTCTACTCTGTCCTACAGGGTCACTATGAGTCAGAATCGACTCAACGGCAATGGGTTCGGTTTTTTTTGTTTTGGTTTAACCTTTCTCTGATAATACAAGATCTAGCAAAGTATTCTTTATGAGCATGAATTTTCATTGTTTAGCACATACCTGTGGCTAGGTTTGGGCCTGGGCAAGACTGGGAAAGAGGCTGAGCTTTCCTCAGTACCTTACCGCCTCCTCACCTTTTCTATTTTGGCAGCCCTTTGGCCCTCCTTAGATACCTCTCCCGCCTTGCGGCATTCTACCAATACTACCGAGCACCACGTTTTTTAGATATTTTCTTCCTTTCTCTGAATGACAGCAATCAAACAGGGATATACAAAATCTCGGAAATCAAGTGTTCCAAATTTATAGCTGAAAAAACACATTCGCAGAAAATGTAGAGGGATCCCCAAAGTCAAGGGAAGAGCTGAGCCTAGGACCTGGGCCTCACTCTGCCCTGGCCAGAGCTCTGTCCACTGCTCCTGGGCTGCAGTCCCTTGCAAATGTGTTAAGTGACCAGCTAGATAGTATGTCAAGCAAATCTGGGATACAGTGATAATGACTTACTGTGGATTCAACTAGATTAATATAAGCAGCACTTTAGCACCAGATAAAGGCCAGAGACGAAGGTCTACTGAGGCAAACCACACTAGGGTGAAAGCTACCTAGTCTGCCTACCTGGAATGTGGGTTCTCACCACCAAGGAGAATAAATGCACGGTGAAATCACCACATACCCGGCAAATGACGTTTTTGATATGATGTCATTTTCTTGTGACCTTATTGATATGACATCATTTTCTTGTCACATCAGTTTTGGGCCCTGGTGGTGCAGTGGTTAACAGCTCAGTTACTAACCAAAAGCTCAGCAGTTCGAATCCACCAGCTGCTCCCTGGAAACCCTATAGGGTAGTTCTACTCTGTCCTACAGGGTCGCTATGAGTCAGAATCGACTTGACAACAATGAGTTTGGTTTTTGTTTTTATATTTGGTTTAAATCTGTTTAAATGCTCTTAATATACTATAAAATTTTATATTATATTAAAACTGTGAGTTGCCTTCCTCAAAACAAAGTTTTCTATTAAATAAAACCAGGTACTTTACTTTGCCTTTCTTCCATCAGCAGCAAAAAACTTTCTTTAAAAACCTTTTCTTAGATTTGTATCTGCTACTCGGAATTCTCTCATGATATTGATATTCTGCAAGTATTACAAACAAGGCACATTGCACATTCACCTAACATTAGAAGACAATTTTCAAATTTTTTATAACTTTAAAAACATCTAGAAAATTATAATAACTCTTGTTTTAGTGATATGCAGATGATAGTTGTAATTAATTACATATTGGGTTTCAGATTAAGCCTTAATGGTTTTCATTCATAATTTCTTACTGTTTTAAGCAAAGGAAAGCAAAACAAAATAAAACAAAAAAGATAGTAAGATCAGTCCGAGAAATAATGATATTCTAATATCTTGATTATTTTACATGCATGGAAGGCGAATGCCTTAAAAGAGAGACTGAATTTAACGTAATGTACTTCCTGGCTGTATTTACTGCTACAAATGTCAACGGCACTATTCAGGTCCAAGTCTCAGGCTTACCTGCATAGCGCATCTGCGTCCAGCTGTCGGGGATGTCTGTGGTCTATGATGATGATGTCATGATGTTTGTCCAGGAAGCAGGAAAGGACAGCCTGAGGCTCCTTGGTGACTGTACACTTAAATCCTGCCTTTTCACATGCCTTACAGAATCCATTACACTGGCTATCTTCTTTAGTAAACACTAAAAGTACCTGGATCAAAAGAGCATGAACACTTTTTTTAAAAAAGATGCTGTTAGAACTGTCAGTTCTTAACAAGCCACAGAAAAGTCCCAAGTGTTTTCAAGACAAGTAAACGGATGTAAACATAACAAAATGTCAATATAAATCCTTCTCCTATACACAGCTCAGGGACATTATCACTCAGCTCCTCAAAATTAATGCTATTTTCTATCTGGTCTTAGTCTGGAGGTCCAGAACGAGTAGAATCAACAAAGACTTGGTTAATACATTATAAAGTAATCATTCCTTAAGCACTTTACCTTAAAACAAAATCAGTGAAAACACACAACTATTTAAATTAACAGAAAGTAACACCAAGTAGATGGCAAATTCAGTATTATTTCAATAAAAAATTTCAATATTATTTCATTGAAACTACTGGAACACTTAATCATTTAAATAGTATATTTAAATGTTTGACTCTAGGTTTTATGCAATTCCTCCAAGTTGAAAAAAAAAAAAATACTCTGATGAGAGGAGGAGAAATTTAAAGTAGACCAAAATGTTACATTTCAAAGCCTGCTGGTTAAGTGATAGAGGAACAGGACCAGCTACAAGAAGCAGCATCTATGCCTCTGCCCCGGGGCACTAGCTGCTGTCTGGGCACCTGGAACAGAGCAGATCAGGCCTGGATCTGCTGCCTGGGGAACAGGATAGATTGCCTCTTCCCTAGCCAGGTACCTCCAGCCAAATCTGGTTTAGGAACACCACTGCTCCACCCCCTCTGAACCAGACTGACAATGAGGGCAGTGCGGCAGTGGTTAGACAGAAACTACAAATGGACAAAACTCCTATTCCTCCAAGGCTTAGTTCCTCCAGATTTACCCAGTTGCACAAATACCATAGCAAAGAACTAACAATGCACATTTCTGCCAACTTCTTTTTTTAATGTAATAGTGAACATGCATTTCTGTGTAGGAAGCACCAAATAATTTGGGGGCTAAATCAAATGACACCAATAACCAGTTGGGAGCCCTGGTGGCATAGTGGTTAACAGCTTGGCTGCTAACCAAAAGGTCGGCAGTTCAAATCTACCAGCTTCTCCTTGGAAACCCTATGGGGCAGTTGTACTTCTGTCCTATAAGGTCGCTATGAGTCGGAATGGACTCTACCGCAACAGGTTTAATAACCAATTGAGTTTATTTTCTGTTTAATATTTTGGATTAGACAAATCATACACATTTCCTCTCCAACAGACAGGTGATTCACCAACAGAGAGAAGACTATTTGTTTTCACTTTTCATATGGGAACATTTCAAACCTACAGAAAAGTTGCGAATGACAATGAACACCAGTATACCCTTCTAGATTCACCAATTCGTTAACATTTTGCCACCTCTGCTTTTCTCCCTCCCCCCCATTATATACTTTTTTTATTCTTTTTTTCCTGAACCATTTTAAAGTAGATTGCAGACATCTCTTCATCTCTGAATACCTCAATGTGTATTCTTAAGAAAAGGGCATTCCCCCATATAACCACAGTCCTATTATGAAGTTCAGGAACTTTAACATTGATCTAATACTATTACCTAAAATAGAAGACTTTTTAGTATATAGCTTTAGGCCCCTCTCCCTCCTCTGTGAAGAAAATCAACACATGCAAACTATGGCACAGTTCATTATTTACTGCATTTGAGTATTACCTGAAGCTGATCTTGATGAAATCTCATGGGGCCAAACTGCACATCAGCTACTGCTACCTGCAAGAAAGAGATTTACTTAAAAAACAAGAAAAAGAGAAGCTTGTTTAAAATTTTCTCTTTCTAGCCAGTGCCACAGATGAAAGTGACACTTCTACTCTAGAGAAAAGTCGCCTAAAGAGAATAGTTAGTAGGCGCAGAAATAATTATGAAAAATCCAGGGAACTCCTTATAAAGCCCAGGGGTGGTACGGAGTAGGGAGGAAGAAATTAATGATGGGTCTGATCCTGGCTTTGCCTTCTACTAGCTGTATGCAACTTTTGGTGACTTACTTAACCTCCCTCAGCTTCAATTTTCTCATTTGTAAAATGGAAATAATAATATTAAATTATTTTTGTTACAAAGATCAAACAAGATTACAATCTATAGAGCCTCCAAAGAGTAAACACTGACTAAGTACTGGATCCTTCCATCCCTACTTCCACTTTCCCAGGGTAAACGATGAAATCTTGTATCTAAAATGGCACATGAATAATGAAATCCAGCAGTCAGATCACGGGATGTCAGAGCCAAGAAGCCTTACTGAGAAACAGTCAACCCTCTTCATTTCACACCACCACACACACCAGTTGCCGTTGAGTCAACTCTGACTCATGATGACCCCATGTGTGTCAAGAGAAGAAGTGTGCTGGGGATTGAGGCCCACAGACAGGAAATGATTAGCCTAGGGAGTCACAGCAAATAAATGGCAGAGCCAGGACAAGAACTTTGGTCCCCAACTCTTAGCCAGAGATCTCTTCCCACCTCACAGTCTCCTCCCTGCCCCCTCTGTGCAGGGGCAACAACAATGCACTGGTTGCCCCCAGCTTAGCATGTTCCTTCTGCCGCTATGCCTTTGTCCAGGCTGCTCCCTTTACTTCTGAAGCCAAACACAAATCTCTCTTCTTTGTGTTTTATATCTTTTCTACCATCCTGATACCGAGAATCATATTTTCTCCCAATTTTTCTAAACCAGGACACCAAAGACACTGTATTTTTCTACTTTTTCCATGCTAGAAGTCTACATAAGTTCTTCCAGAGTCAACTTTAGTAATTTATATTTTCTGAAACAATAATCTATTTCATTAAGATGAACTTTGAATACTACAATAAGGCTTCATAAACATCTTAAATTGTCAGTAGGATCTCTACATCCAGTTCCTTTACCCAGCTGAGACTGGCTAGAACCATGTGTCTGAGAGAATGGTTATGAATTTGACCCTAACAGCTCTCCCTTGCTTGCTTTTTAAAGGCCCTTATCCTGGTCTACCGTGTGTACCTGTCTATCTTTCCAAAGAAATTATGAGCTTCTCAAGGGCAAGAACAACATCATATTTGCCTTTATATCCCCATTACCTAGCATAGTACTTCCCAGTAAAAGCTTACCCACCCATTTGAGAACTTAACATTAAAATACACAGAGATAAATATAACGGTCATAACCAAACTCCCAATGGAGTAATAATAATCATAGTGCCCACGGAGAGCTTTGCATGTACTAGGCACTGCGCTAAGGGCTGTACATACGCTATTTCGCTAAATCCTCACAACAGCGTTTTAAGAGTTTACAGTTGGGAAATTGAGGTTCCACACCTTGCTTTAAAGCCACACAGCCAGCAAACAGAAGAGCTGGGATTCCGACCCAGGTATGCTCAATCTAGAGCCTGTGCTTCAAACCCAGGGCCACTGACAGGTTTGAGCACTCTGCATATTGCATAAAGAAGCCTAGGGAAGGAGAAGATGGGGCTGGCCCCAAGAGTTGAACCCTGACATTGGGCTGCTACTCTGAGGAACAAACACTTTATTACAATTTTCCCAGAGACACTATATATACTGCTGGAAGCCCTAGACTACCATGGTTCTCTGTGGAGATGGTATGATTCCATACCTAGAAAAACAAACCAAAAGACTTCCTACAAGATGCTTCTAACTGGCTGCCCACCCCCAATCTCCCGCCACAAGCAGTGCTCTATCCTACAATAAATACATGTGATAGAGGAAATCCATGTATATTTTTAACTGTGAGAGGCTGATGCCTGCTAATTATGGGGCACCTGGCTGAGTTTCTGATTTGCTTTGTAATCATTTCATCTCTCAGAAGGTAGAAGAAGCGACAAGGGCTGCTCCTATACTAGACCTAAGACTGAGCAGGAGGACCTCTCTGGCAGGGTGGAAGGTGAAAGATCAGACAGCCCAGAGTACCATCTATCCTCTTGAGCTTTGTAACCAGGGGCCGGCCTCAGGTCAAGGGGCCCAGGTGGATGCCAAAGTCAGAATTTCTAAAAAAGATTATCCAAAAGGGCAGAGACAGTCTTAAAAGAGAGATCTGCACTATATAGTTACACTTTCACAGAAAGAAGGAAAGCAAGAGGCACTGAGACACCAATTTGAACGATCAGTTTGTTCATTTTTATGAATAAAGTTTAAAGCAAAGAATGAATGAAAAAACAAAGGATGAGACCAGCCTGCTGCTTAGAAACTACAATGGAATTGCTCATACTTTAGCAAGAAGAAAGAGAAAGAAACTCATTTTGCATTGATTTTCCACAGTATGGGGGCCAGTTTCATAAGAGAAAGCAGAAAAGCCATCACCAGGAGAAGCTGCTACTGCCAAAGACAAAGAGGTGATTATAGAGCACTTGGACCCTTCACATGACTTGGGGTCTTCAGCCTTTGATGGGGGATAGAATGGGACTCCCTATGAAGGATCAAGTAGATAAAAAACAAAATCTGAGTAGAAAGAAATAGAAAATATGAATATTGTGAAGATATATGATATAGTAGGTCACAAAGAAAACCTTAAAACATATTCCCCAAAGTAAAAATAGTACAGTATTTATTCACAAGAAATGCAGTGTTACTGTATTTGACCATAAGGCAATCAAACCAAAAATTAAAAACTTAAGTTTAAACAACAACAAATTATCCTCCTCCCCCCAAATTAAAAAACAGTATCTTACACAACTGCTGAATTAAAGAGGCAAGTGCAAACTATAGCTATAGATTATTTGAAAAATAATAAAAGTGAGAATACAGTATAATAAAACTTACAGGATATGTGTAAATCATACTCAGAGGCAAAATTCACAGTCAAATCTCTTTGTCATGAAACAAGAAAAAATTAAATATACTAAGCTTTCAAATTATTACATTTAAGAAAGTTGACAGTCAAAAAAACTTAAAGGAAACCAAGAGGAGGGAAATAAAGGCAGTAACTAATAAATTTTTTAAAATGTTAATGACTAGAGAGATTAAAAAATACATACAGTGTTGGTCACAAGCTAGGGACCAGATAGAAAGTATGGATGGCTCAGGGCAAAAATCTGATCACTCCTGGAAAAACAACTCTACCAGTCGGTGAAATAGCTTTACTTTTACAAAGGACAGCATAACTTTATGATCTCAACTTATAAAAATAACTCACCACTGGATTTATTTTAAGCAATAAAAGAAGTTATAGATTTATTTTTAAAAAGATTTAAGACTATGAATTTTGCCTCAGTATAATTTTAGCAGTATAACTTTAAAACGTCAATGTTTCAGCAACGTTCTTTTACCATGAACACTGCTTTATTTACTTAACTAGACTGCATTTAACCTTACATCCTGTCTACGGGGTATATCCGGCTCTCAGGACCTCTGTCGAGCAGAGGCCCACTGGAGCCGGACAACTACTTACCACTGCCCCCCCAAAATAACCACCACCAGGAAATCTGATGACATTACTCAGTGAGCAGACGTCAACAGTGGGCTCTCAAAAAGTAAACAACTTCCCAATTGCCCTGGATAAGGGATTGGAACTACTGGAATTCTTGTCTTCATCCTTTCCTTGTGTAAGAAAATCACAATTAAACCGCCCTAATGCTTCAGGTCATAGTCCTCTTAAAAATAATTTATCTTTCACGTTAGTTATTTAGAAGGGGATAGTCATTTTCAAATCAATGTTAATAACATAGCTATGATTTAATCTTTCATCTTCAAAGCAACTCATATTTTTAGGCAATAAACAATAGTATGTTCAAGAGCTAATAGTGGTAATTATACAAGGTGTTGTATTTAGTCTATTGGATTTTTAAGTACTTGTGTAGAGTTTATTGTTTCAAAAAGATTGTAAAATTAGGATATCAGACAAGATAGATGATGTTTATTTGCATTTTTATATTTTAAATTAATTTTCTGGTAAATATGGCTAACAGAAACATGAAATAAATTATTATTGGAAACTTTGATGAACCACATTCCAGATTTCTTCTGTTTGCTTAACTCACCTAACATCATTTAGATGAGACACTAGAAGACCAAGTTATGTTAAAAATCCTGACTGGGGATGAGGAGTGGGAGAAGAGATACACATATAATACAACCTATCTAAAATGTCTACTCTCCTTACCTTTCCTATTCCTTGCCCTGTTTTTTTTTTTTCTCGTTAGCTCTTAAGCACTATTTGATACACTACATATTTTATTACTTATCATCTTTATTGTCTGTCTGTCTCTCCCACTAGAATATAAATTCTATGAAGGCAGGGTTTTTTTCTGTTTTATTCATTGTTATATTCCTAATACCCAAAACAGTGCTTGGCACATGGCAGGCATTCAAAAATATTAGTCAAATAAAAAATCATTTATCTAGAAATCACACACATACATATACATATATGCACACATATACACATATGTATACACCATTCTCTAGTTATGAGTATTTTCATATATACTTTAATTATGAAGCAAAAAGAAAGAAAATAATCTTATTAAAGGCCTAAGCACTAGAAACCCCAAAAGAACCATGCGATCTGTCTCCTTTTCCTATATCCCTTATTGGAAACAGAAGTTTATGCTGGGGTCAATTTACATTAACTATACACTAACTATACAGACCTAATAACTGTAGTAAAGACATAAATCAAATTTTGGGCTGAGCCATATTGTCCCCACCCCAGGCCTTCCCTGTATACCACTGGCCATCTTGTCTCTCTCTCTAGGGAAAAAGTGATAACTTGATTAAAGGGACATGGTCTG